CCAGGTAGAAAGAGACATCAAGTAGGCTATACACAGGCTAAGTGTACAGCTTGTCCTTGACTTACAATCTGTTGCTTCGAAACCATTCAAAATTACAATGGACCTCCAAATAGCACTTGTGACTGAGTGGCAGCCTTCCTCCCCCTCCCATGCTCACGTATTTTCATTTTGTTTGCTTGGCCCATATTTACTGTGTGGTCATTTTGAGTGTCCCGCAGTCACATGATTACAGTTTACAATTATTATTATTTTTTTGCTGGAACTCGACATTACTTCCGGCAAATTGGATTCTCTTCACCAACAACTGCAAAAGAAAAATGGTAAAAATTGAGTGCGGTCACATGATGACTCGCTTAACAACCAGCATATGATTAAGACCATAATTCCGAGCTCAATTATCATCGTATGTTGAGGATTATCTCTCAAAATTCAATCCAGCCTGTCCCTTTTGTCTCTCAGCTTCAGGAAAATAATAGTGAACTGCACCATCTCTCAGCTGCGAAAACACACTGTATGTTTGCCCACAGGGAAAAGGATATTTAAAGGACTATTTTGGTTTTTTTTTTTACCCTTTGAACCTGTGTTAGTGTGCTCAGGCACTGATGTCCTGGGAAAACATTTCATGATTTGGTCCTGTGCTTCAGAACTGTTGGCTAAAGAAATTTATTGGCTTAAGCACCCTTGGCTGCTAACCTCTGGAGTTAAGCCAGTGGACTATATTTTTGCCAGCAGATAAAGAACTTGAGTGATTGAGAAATGGATGTTTCTGTAGCTAATCTAGTGCTCATTTATTTATCCAGTGTGGTATCCTGCTTTTAAGGCATCTACTACCGTATGATTAATTATTTGGAAAATTTCTCTTGTTCTTCTGTTGCTCTAGGTTTATACCAGCTCTGGTCCCCTCAGAATAGGGTATCATGTGACTAATTCCTATAGTATGCCAAGCCCTTCCATGACACGAGCTGTGCTGGAAACCAAGGAGCTTCTGGAAATGAATGGCCATGTGGTATGTATACTTATTAGGGGAGAGGCAGGTATATGTCGTACCAAGGGGTTGTCTATTTCAGAAGGCAACATTAGTAGGTATAAGAGATTTATGTGGAGGGTGCAACAGTAGAGAAAGAGAGAACAAAACTCCACCTAAGTGTAAATCTGGGCTTTCCCTCCCTCCCTACTAATTCCACTGCACTACCTGTTGCCAATAAAGGCTGGAGTTTCATGCCAAAAGCAGCTGGGCTGATTTTGCTTTTTAGAATTTAATTACTGTATTCTGGATCACTTTGCCTTCATCCCTGTAATTTGCTTATTAATTAATTAATATGCTAGTTTTGGTGTCCACCACACAGAGTTTTTAAAAATTGATTGGATTTGCTTAATGCAGGAGAGCCTTTATATTAGGGATGGCCCTCAGGTTGGTAGTTAGTTACACAAGACTGCCATTTGCATTGACTTTTAGTAGAGTTGTGTGAGCCTTTTCCCAAGTGTAAGATTGAATCACATGCAAATGAATGCATTTTTTTATCATTTTGTTAATTTAGAGCAATGTTTTTGAACTTGGCAACTTTAAGAGGCATAGAACAACTCCCATTGTTAGAATGCTAGGGAATTTTACACATCTTAAAATAGCCAAGTTTGAAAAAAACATTGATTTAGAGAATTGGATTTTTTTTTTTCTCAGTCATGTTTCTGGCTATAGATACCTTATTTTTTGGAATATAGAAGCCCCCCCCCCCCCCCCAAAAGAGTATGAAAATTTGGGCGCATCTTATACACCAAATATAGTCCCACCCACTAGGCCCAAAATGCGAGGCACAGAGGCCAAAAACACGAGGCATGGAGGCTGTTATGTTTGGAGGAGTGGGCGCAATAACGGAGACGAGACATCGATAGTGACTCAGTTCAACTCTTTTTAATAGTGACTTCAGAACAGAGCAACGATTAGGGCAGCAGCAGCTCTTTTATAGAGCTGGCTGCTGTCACAACAACCAATGAAATTGAACTAACCGCTCTAAAAGCGTCCAATCAGAGACGGCCCGTTTTCAGCCAATCAGATCCGCCAGAATTGGCCAATCATGATTCGCTTATCCGTGGGCCAATCCGAAGTGTAGGATTACAAGCCTGCTGCTGAAGCAAGCTAGCATAGTTATTGTCAAATGAGTTTGCTTAGTTCGTAACAGAGGCGGCGATGGTCTATGGCAATCCCTGGAGGCCGATCCACCCGCCAATCAGCTGCTTCTGTGAATCAGGCTGCAATAATAGGCTGAAGCTGACTTGGCTGTTCGCTATTTGCTGCAAGGACATGTCAGAGTTTGCAGCAGCAATCACATCCAGAAAGCACACACAAGTAACTGATTCAGCAGGATTCAATAACTTCTCTTTATATATAACACATGAAGTAAATATACAATACCAAAAGCAGGTTTTCCAGCATGGTTAAATACAAGCAAAACACAAGCAGAGGAGAGGAGTTTCAGTTTTAGTTTCAGAGCAGCATGCAGCTTTAATACAGAACAGTTAAGCTAAGCCACACTCAGGCTCCTTGCTGTCTCCTTGCTCACACAGCAAATACTGTTTCAGTTTCCAAACAGCCTTCAACTCTCACACTGACAGGACGCTAGCCAGATGAATACCAATGGATGCTGGTAGGCAGAGGCAGAATTTTTCCCCCCTTTATTTTCCTCCCCCAAAACTAAGGTGCATCTTATATTCCAGAGCATTTTATACTCCGAAAAATACGGTATTTCCCCCATTATTTTTATTGTAAATGTTCTTTCATTTCTTTTTAGTTGGTCCCCTTTGAGCCGCAGCACATGGCCCATTTTATGAACCACTTAGTTACTGCATCACTTTTTGGTGATGCTGGTGCCACTTTACTGCAGTCTTTGTAAGTATTGCATTTTCTATAGTCTGAAGTGTTTATGTGAGGAAATAAGAGAAGTAGAAGGCTTATTTTGTGGATGTGATCCCCCTCTCCTTTTTTCTCTTCTGTTTCCAATTATTTTTGATAGGTGGAGAAACAGGGCTTTAATTTCTGTAATGCTGAAAGCTGCTATGAATGAAACATTTGGGAGTAGTGAATTTCAGCTGTTTGAATATTCTAGCTCACACCCCCTCCCCCCAGTTTCAAACACAACAACATCCCTAACTCTGCTGGAAGCTTTATTTTTATTATAGATCTAAGATACTACAGGTAGTCCTCACTTAGTGACCACAGTTGTAACTGGCAATTCCATCACTAAGTGCCACCATTGCTAAATGGAAAAATCACATTACCGTGATGAGCGTATGATGTCTCTTTGCGTTTGTTACACGGCAATCATTGAGGGAGACATGTGATGTTGACTTGCAATTTTACTCCTGCTTTATCTATTAATTCTGCTTGTTGGAAGCCAGTTGTACATCAGTGAATGATGATCACAAGACCGTCTGTCCCTGCAATGATAGTAACTGTGAAGAGTGTTCAAAAAGTGGGTTTCTTTTTTCACTCTTGTAACTTCAAACAATTGCTATACCAGGCAATTGGTAAATGATGCCTGCCTGCCTGCCTGTATGTATGTATTTAGGTGAAGGGATGTAAATATATAAATAGACAGCTTTCTGCAGTAATACAGACAGAATAGCATACTACAGTGTTTAAATAGAGAAAATTCAGCTTCAAATCTCCATTTAATCTTAAATTTCAATATTTAGTGCCTCTAGTTCCAATATTCCAGGATTGTTGTCAGGTTAAAATTAAAATCTGGGCACAAGATACATAAATGTCATACAAGAATCCAAAGTAATGTATCAGGGCAACACATCAATGTAGGCGAGAGATTTAAATTGGGCAATGAAATCTCAAATGGAATATTGCCGCCAGTATAAGAGAAAAGTATACACAAATCTGAATGAATGCCAGAATATGGATGCCTAGAGAGAGGAGTGCAGTAGGTGGAAGTCTTTGGCAACATTTTATTTATTTATTAGATACATACAAGTGGTCCTCAACTTACAACCTCTCGTTTAGTGGCTGTTTGAAGTTACAATGGCACTGAAAATAAATGACTAATGGACCATTTTTCACACTTTGAATTGAATTGAATTGAATTCTTTTTTTTGGCCAAGTGTGATTGGACACACAAGGAATTTGTCTCGGTGTAAATACTCTCAGTATACATAAAAGAAAAGATACATTCGTCAGGTGTCGAGAATCATAAGGTATGACACTTAAGGATAGTCTTAGGATACAATAAGTAATCAATCAATCATACAAGGAAAGTAGGCCACCTTTGCAGCGTCCCTGTAGTCACATGATCAAAATTTGGACGCTTGGCAGCTGGCATGTGTTTATCACAATTGCAGTGTCCTGTGGTCATCTGATCACCTTTTGCAACCTTCTGTCAAACAAAGTCAGTAGAAAAGCCAGATTCACTGAACAACCATATTACTAACTTAACCACTGCAGCAAGAAAGTTAGTAAAATAACGCAAAATTCACGTAACTATCTTGCTTAGCAGTGTAAATTTTGGGCTCAGTTGTGACCGTAAGTCAAGGACTACCTGAATACCACTTCTCTTCCATGTTTCCAAGGTGACATATACAGTGCTCCTCCCGCATTCTGCTGCCCAACAACAGTCCTGTGAGATAAGTTGGGCTGAGCAGGAGTAGTGATTGGTCCCTATTTGAGCCAGTGAGTTTCTGTGGTTCAAAGTGAATCCACCCAGAATCTGGATCTTTTCCCAGGCCAACTATTACATCAGTTGTTAGAATGTGCCTTTTAAAAGTAGAATGACATGAAACCAGTAAGAAGTATGAGTCTTTAATTAATTTCAGTGTGTGACAACTTTATGTGGCTTGTAATTGAAGTCATTTTTTTAGCTGGGGTTGGAAGATAATTGCAATAACCTTTTTGGTTGGGGAAATGGATCCTGGGAGCTGCCAAAATTAACAGTGAGCTAATTTAAATGTCTATCTTGCATAGAAAAATGGAAATATAGTTGTTATGATTAATGTACAGAAGTGAAAACATTGTTGAAGAATGTTTGGATAGGGGTTTCTTTCTGTAGAAAAGGCTTGCCCTTGTTATCTCTCTAAAATGATTTGGAGAGCACCACCAAACATGTTGATTGGGTATTTAATAGAGATTGGATGGATTTACACATCCTTTTAACCCATAATATATAGTAGTTTGTTTGATTTTGGGTTAGTGTGATAGATGAACTGAGCTTCTATAACTTATATTTATACTAGGATCTGACAGAACAGTAGGATATTATGATTGATAAAAGTGCTTCGTTGAAAACCGTTCAGGAAATTTAGGGGTAATGAAATAAGAGGTCCTTCTATAAATGAGTAATTGGTTAAAAAATAGTTTAGGATGAAGGTTAGAATAAATGGATAGCTTTCACAATGGAGAAAAGTAAGATTCAACATAAATTCCACTTCTACCAAGCACACAGATTATGATCATGAGATTGCAGGGTGACAGTGCAACATTTTGTGATTGCTGGAAGAGCTTTATTGACCATAAAGCACCCTTTTCAAAACCATTTGTAATTCCAGACTGTTGTTAAACAAACAGTTTTGACTCAAGGACTACCTATACGCCTGATTTAGTAGGATTTTTCTCTTGGTTTTTACAGATTAATCAGAATTGTTAATCAGAACATGGCAAACAGACACGCCAGTAGTGATAGCTGATGCTTGAAGTTTGAATATAACTTCCATTTTGAAAATTATCGTAGCATTTTATGTATGTGCTTTGATTGTCTGGGTTGCCTTTCAGTGAAGACGAACCTGTAGATCCATATCTAAGGATTACCATGCTGTTACTAAAGACTCCTTATTGGATGCGAAGAGTCCTATCCTGGATTATAAGACCCAAAGTAAGTAATATCTCTTACTATCTTTTTTTAATCTGGAACAGGGTTTCCCAACCTATATTCAGTTATCTGTGCCTGTGTTATTGGTGTGTTCTAATGTAACATGGCACTCTCGCACAAAATTCCTATAACTTTCACTCCCTCAAACATTTCATCCCTATTAGTAAGAATTAAGTTCGGTATAGCTGATCCACTAGTTCCCTGCTCCACATTTTGGATGACAGAGTTGTCAACTAGTCACATCAGGGGTCGGCAACCTTAAACACTTAAAGAGCCACAAAGGTCCTAACTGGAAGCTCCTTGTTCAGTTCTGGAACTGACCAGACTCTATGGCAGTTTCCCCACCATAGAGTGTCTTCCTAGCGCAACGTTCTTTTTCCTCTACCTGCCTTAACCAAAAGCCCTATCAATTGTGGAGCCGATCAGCAACAGGGAGTCACAGCAGAGGGATGAAAGAGCCACATGCAGCTCCAGAGCCACAGGTTGCTGACCCCTGCCCTAAACCAACTGTGAATATTCCAGCTTTGGCATTCTCATAATTAATACAATAACTATATATTAAAATGATGTAGGGTATATCAGGCTACGCTGAAACAACTGAGCCCATATCTTCCAAATGGGTTGGGACTGTTGTTCTTCAGCCAGGGAAGGCTCAAGAAGTAGATTTTGCTTCTTGGGCTAGTTGTGTTTCATTCTAAATTTTTGGTGAAGTATAATATTGAAAAGTCTGTACCACTTATTTTTACATCAACCCCCAAAATGGCATTTTCCATTTATTTTTCCTTAGAGTATTCGTCAGTCAAGAGCTTTGAGCAACTTTAAAGAAAGGTAAATATTTTTGGTGGGAGATTAAGGCCTTCATCTCTTAATATTGCCTTTGTAATAAGCAGGTTGATTTTTTGCTACCTGATTTTATAGTTCCTGTTTGGATGAAATTAGTGATCAGTATGCTTTTAACCAAGCAGAAATGATTGCATCTGAAGTAAGGTTTTCCAGCAGTAGTTTGAAACAAAGATCTATGAGTTGAGTTTTGCATGTGATCCCAAAGAACTACAGTAATAACGGTAGAGTACCACTGTTAGAGACTACGTATGTGCAGAACTAGTTAGAATGGATTGCTCCCATCTACCCCAAAATTAAAACTACATTTCATTTCTTAAATCTTGTAAAGGGGGTGTCACAGAATAACATTATTTTGAATCTATTGTTTAGCACTTGGAACATGAAAAATCTTGCAGGAGTGCTCATTTTACTAACCCTGCTTTTTCAGTAGTTTTCTGTGTATTCATTTTAATTATGCTCTGCTATAGTGAATACTAGTAACATATTCTTAAAATTATAAAGACTCCATAATATACTGTTTTAATTGTGCTTTATTAAATTTCTACAAAGAATTACACACACACACACACACACAAAATTAGAAATAAAATAGGGAGGGGCAAAGTACAAGGGATAAAGGAAAAAGGAAGAGAAAGAAAATAAAAATAGAATAATTTTCTTCAATACAGTTACAAATATAAAATTAATTAATCTTTTGTTTTTAAATTCAGTAAAGCACTATATAATTTCCATAAACAATTCTAATTATCAAATCCCAAAATTAATATAGCATTTCTTTCACTCTCAAGCAAAAAGTCCAAAAGTTGTTTCCATGTGGAAACAAAGCTAGACAAAGTCTTTTCTTTACTCAAACTAGTTAGTTTTGTCATCATCCAATTCCATTAATTTTACCACCCATAATAAACTGTTGAAGCCAACAATTCTAGTCAGCACCTGTTTTGGATCAGATGCATGGTTCCTTTGACATTTCCTAAAATGTTTTTTTTTTTTTGAACTTTCATATATTTTTCGGAATATTGTTTCTTTCAAATACCATCCTTTTGACTTTATAGGCTAAATATGGGCTGAAGGAGAGCATTGTGGGTTGGGAATATTGCTTAATTCATTCTTAGTATGACTTTTTCCAGTCATTCCCCTTCTAATTTCAAATTACAGGAGGAACTGATTTTGGCTAATAATAAAAAAAAATTACACACACACACGGAAGATTTATGTTTACCAGAAGAGATTTTTTTAATTACATTTTCTTTCTAATGATGCTTTTTACAAATATTTCTTGATCTCTGTATTAATGATCTCAGCAACCATTGGTTTATTTTGCCAAAATTAATGTGATAACTTTACTGCCATTAATACACAAAATTGTTTGTCTAGTCTTGTGCCCAGTTAGACTTTCAATTCCATTCTGCTCAGAGGAATTAAGTCAGCATAGCTGTATAGCACCAGGTTGGGGAAAGTTATGAACATAGGCAGCCAATTCCATTCATCTGCAGTTCATTTATTTTCTTTGACTTTTTAGGTCTATAAAAGAACTCTGGAAATGTCACTTGGAAATTGAGGTAAATTTTCTTTTGGAATCTTTGCAAATGGCATAAAAATCTTGTATGTGTAAATATTTTCTGAAGCATTCGAGAAAATAGCATGGTCTTTTTCAGCTTCAGACCATAGATTTAAAACATTCACTAAAAACTACTGCATAGTCGCAAAACCCAGTAAGTCTTGAGGTCATTCTTCTATAGTCTGATGCCTCCCAGTTGTGTTAGACTTCTATACCACCCCTTTCTCTCTAGCCATTGGCCATTTTTGAATAAGGGTGTTGGAAACTAAAATCCAATATATTCGGAGGATGCCAAATCAGTAAAAGATGGCCTCGTTACGAATGCTCCCTTTGTGGATATTTCAAAATGAAGAACAGCTCTGACAGTACCTATGTGGGAAACAATTCTGTCCTTTAAATAATTGTTTTAAGTTGAATATCAGATGCTTGCGTACAAAGGTTTGTGGTGCCTGCAGAATATTTTTTGCAGGGCAAGAGCAGAAGCTGAAATATAAGATGGGATTGTAACTTGTCCATTTCTCATGTCCTGCTTACCGCTACACAGACTTGTCTATTTTTCCTGTAGTTACACTGTTGCTCAATGAAATTTTCTGTGACAGAAAGACAGATAGTCTTCACTTTACTACTGGGACCAGAAACTATCGTTAAATGGCATAGTAGTTAAGCAAAACTTCATATAGCTGTGCTGGACTTATATTATCCCTATTATGGTTGATAAGTGAATCACCACAGGTGGTTAACATGAGACATCACATGGCTGTGACTTGCAATTTCACTGCTGGCTGCCCCATTGACTCTGCTTGTGTGAAATGTGAAGTGCACAAATGGGAATCATGTGACCACAGGACACTGTGGCTGTCATAAATGCCTGCCAGTTTGCCAAGCACCTGAATTTTGATCGTGTGACCTTGGAGACACTGCAACAGCTATAAGTACAAGGAACTGTCATAAAATGAGACAAATAAAATAGGCAACAATCATACAAGTAAACAAATTTTACTTTAGAATCAAAGGTTTATTTCATGAGCAATTTGAACATGATTAGCTATCAATACACACAACATTACTTACATCAATAACCCATTGCAATGAGGTCCAAGGATAACAGCTAGGTCCAGCAAGGAGCAGCTACCAGTGACCCCGGGTTGAGATTTGCCCCTTTCTTTTATACCTTTTTCTGTCTTCCTTTCAGTAGTATGGAATATTACCGAGATAACTTCCCTTTTTCTGCTGATATCCTTTCCTCAGCACATTCTAACGTATACATCTGAAATGTGATGACCTGGGGCATGGCACAAAGGCAACACAGTCAGATAATCAATAAGAGTCCCTTTATTATCTCCAACTTTGTCCCCAATGTCCAGGTTACCTTCTGGCTGGAGAAAAACTCTCCCAGGAACAGCCTTTTGACTGCAGAAAATTAAGTCCAAAACATGGTCAACACAAACTGTAACTTAAAGTCCAATCAAGCCAAACTGAAGTAATTAGTTTGGAATGGCAGGAGCAAGAATTTCAGACTTGAAGGCACCACAAAACTCACACGTTGCGAAGACACCAGGAACACAGATAAGCAACAATAGCACAAGATAAAGTCACGTTTGCTCCCAGCAGCCTGTCGCACGCAGCCTGTTTTTCTTATAAACTGTGTTCCCAGCTGTGGCTCATGAAGTGAATCAGGGCCCTTTCCTCACCCGTAAGCCACGCGGCCCACATTGCTCTTTTCTCCATTCCTCCCTGCGTGCCCTAGGATGAAGAGAAGGTGGGCCTGGGTCTTCCTCTGAATTCCCTCTCCCTTGTTCTACCTCTCCCTTGTTCTACCTCTCCCCTGCTCTGCCCAGCCGGACTTTTCCCTTCCCGTTTCCTCCACAGCCAACGGAGCCACACTCCCACTCCCTGTCAGCTGTTCGGCTTCCTCCTTGGATTCAGACTCCGACAGGGTCATGACATGAAATCTGCCATCTGCTACTTTCAGTTTCCCATTTCTAATGTCCCAGACACATTTGTCCAAAATAGCCTTAAAAGTGATTATGTTGCAGATATATTTTGCTAATGACAGATTACAATACTTCCTTAACATGTGAGTCTTACTTAGTCAACATTCTAACGGTTTGCCATGTAAGGCTTGGCTATAAATTGAGACTTTATCATTCAAGATTTCTTTGATATAAATTGAGACTTTATCACAGTCCAGTTGTCTTTTTCCAACAGACCCAATCATAAATTTACTTTTTCAGTGGTGTTGCTATTTTGAATAGTTGCTAAACAGAGCAGTCATTAGACAATCACTACTTGTACAGTTTAGCATTGTCAATAATGTATTGGATAAATACATATTTGGTAACATATGTTTCCTAGTTGAACATTAAATCAGGAAAATATTCTTTTTTGTTGTTGTTTTTTTAAAGCATAAAATACTATTGTATTGCAAGTCAGGCCATCTAGTAAACTCATCTCTCTGGGGTTTCACACCAAGGTTGTTTCCTTCTTTATTAAATTTAGGATTTCTTGTAGGGGAATCCACTGATGAGTTATTGATAATACTTAAGAAGAAGGGATTCTCTACCCAGTGGCCCAGTGCAATGTGTAGGGACTGTCCTTTCACTGGGAAGAATGGGAAGAAAAAGAGCAGCCTTTGACTCTTGAGTATTTTCAGAAGGGAAGCCTGGGGTGAGGTAGGATTTTTGCTTCTAAGATCCTTAATTAACAGCTCAGATCTAAGGATTACATTTTAAAACAGTCTGATTCAAGAGCTGGAAGAAGAAAAATACATTCATGCTTCATTCCCAGGAGACTGGGATTCATGTTGTTCATTCATAAAATAGTTGCTCAAAGAGAATAGCAACTCAGAAGTCCACCTTTGCTGCGCTATCTGCCTTCTTGCCCCTGCCATATGCCACTGTATTTCTGGATACCAAGGTTATACATTGAAAAATAAAGATAGCTCTGATATGTAAATTGATCTCTTATCATTAGGAATATTGCAGAGAATTCACTGAACAATGGAAAAGACTGGAACTGGATGTGCTACTATGTCCTGCTATAGGTCCTGCTTTTAAGAGCGGGTTTGCTGGAAAAGTACAAGGTAATTTTTTTTAAAAAAACTTGGAAAACCAAGTTTTATAAAGCTTGTTGGTATTGTTTAGATCCCCATGGAGCGTCCTACTCCTATTCAACAAGATTTGAGTAAATCCTAGGACTATGATGTGCTTTGAGGTTGGGCAAAAAAATTCATGGGATAAGGCAGGGGGGAACAAATATGGTGCTTGTTTGCAATTCTTTGGACCAAATGCATCTTTTCTATGGCTGTACTGTCCCTAGGAAAAGGGGTGGCTGCTTTAAAGAGCTTGCACTTTATTTTTTAACAAATTTTATTCAGTTTTTCACATTAAAAACAAAAATCTCTTTTTAGCGGACAACATATTTCCGGGTCATCACCTTTACATACAAATATGACAGCAATTATACGTTCATATATGCATACTTAATTCTATTATTACCTTTTCCATTCCAAATTTTCAGTAAGGAGAGAAACAAATACATTAATTCTAGTCTCTTTCAATAATCTCAATTGAAACATCTTTTTGTTTCATTTCAATTATTTCAAATATAATCCTTTAATATTTATTTTAAATATAAAGATAAACAATATGTGTTTGCCTAATAATAATAATAATAATAATAATAATAATAATAATAATAATAATAATAATAATGGTTGCCAATGGCTCTCCTTGCTTTTAATAGTCTATATTAACTTATTAATTTAGTTGGTTCTTTAGTCTGTCATATTCCCTTTCCATTACACATTCTTTTTATAAATTCTAAATTAATACAAGTTTTAACACTAAAGAAGTATAGGTTTCCCCCTTTTACTGCTTTGAGTGTGACACCTCAATGGTTAAAATATACCTTTATTCTCTCATCTTGATTCCCAATAAACCATTATTTTTAAGAAGTTGCAATAATAATCATTACATCTTTTCATTTGGATTCCGCAGCATATTTTCCCCCCTTAATCTTTAATAAGAGTTATTACCCTATTTTCTAAATATTTTTAATTGCAGAAATATTTTTATTACCTCTTGTCACCCTGCAGAATCCCCTTTTCAATTCATCAACCATTATCTCTGAAAATACAATTTCTTTTCAACATTTTGCTGTTTCTGTATTTCTTTATTTCATGCACCTGTTTCTTACTGCTTCTCCTCCCCCTCTTTTCCCCATATCTTTTCTCATTCCAGTTTATATCCCTCTCTTAATATCTTCCTTTCCCCTTTTCTGCTGGGTCTTTCTGTCTTTCCCGACTTCACAGGTATTCCCCCTTTTGATTGCCTTCTTAAGTCTCAACTTTTTAACCTTCCTTCTTTCCCCACTTCTTTGTAGCGTTCTTTGTGTTAATTGTCTATTTAAGATGTCTTCTCCTTGAGTCGACTCCTCCTCTGAATTTCTTTCTTCTTGTTCTTCAATCGCCATTTCCATTTTTTCTAACACAGAACAAAGTGATTCGCCTCTTTCCTGTAGTAATTTTCTCATATTTTTAAGTTCCATTTTTAATTCCCAGAGATATCATCATTACACACTCTTGTATTTTATGATCGTTAAAGTCCACCAAAAAACACTTTTACTTTCCTTCTTTCTTCTTTCAATTTTCTAAAGTTCTCAATTATTCCAGCCCAGGGTCTTTACCAAAAACATCAATCAATCCCACAGTCAGTCTTTCCTTGCTTTTTTCTTTATTCTGGTTCTGCTTTCACTTTCTGAGATTCTTTTTTTTTTTTTTTGATAATCTTAAGTCCAACTTTATTTTGTGCCTGTTTATTGCCAAAATATTTTAGTCTAATTTAGTTAAATCTTTAGTTCCAGCTTCTTCCTTTCCTGGTTCAAAGCCCCGCTTAGCTGTCAAGAATATTTTCTTATTTTTTTTCCTGTCCCTTTGTAATTTCGCCGCTCACTTTTCTTTTCTTAAAAATTCCATGTTACCTTAATCCCGGGGTACTTTTGTTTAGTTGTATCGCCCAATTGTCCTGGTTCAGATGTTATCCACCTCTTTCTTCCCTCCTGTACAAAGCTTAATCCAGCTGAGTCCTCCTCTTCAGGGTGGCCATTTTAAACCACCGCTGCAGTCGTCTTCGGGGGGAAAAAGACCAAGCCCAGAAGGGGAGATGCGGCTCCCCTCAACCTGGCTTGCGGCTTCCCCTTACTCCGCTGCCCCTCCAAGGCAGCTTCATCCCCTAATCGTAATGATCGGGGCTCTCCAATGAAAGAGCACGGACCATAGCCGCAGAGAGTCACGATCTACGGTCCGTCAGCAAAGAGGCCCCGCCTTCTTCCAAAGAGCTTGCACTTTTGAATCTGAAGCACTGCACAACCCTAATATACTCCTGTTATGGATCTTGCCACATTCCAAGCATAGTTCTATCCTGGCTTATGAGCAAAAGAGTTCACATAGCATGTTACATGTTGATGTTAAGCATCTTATCTCAGTAACAATTCATAAGAGTCAAATATATAGCTGCTTTTTAAAATGTCACTTAAACAAAAACCTTCATCTAGGGATGGCCAAATCATTCCTTATGGAATCATAATGTTCGATCTTGCTTTTCCATCAGTTAAGAGACAATTTAAAGGCTGATGGATGGCAGCTTTCGTTCAGTCAGCCTTCACAAACCAGTACACATCATTCTTTTGAGAATACATAACTACAATCTTTGTGACAGGGCAAACAATATTTCTAAAATTCTTCTTAAAGAGACTTCAGACTTTGGGAATCTAATTTAACAGTAGAGTCTCTGGGTAGTCAGATGATCATCAGCATCCCTATAGCCTCCAGTATAAAACTGTTTTTGAATGTCTTTTTAAAGAGAGGCAAGTTAAAGTCAACATAAAGCTGTAAACATGAAACCACCTGTGTCTGTTGTTAGTTGCTTGAGATCGGCTTCAGTTTTTCCAAATAATTTTCTCATATGTAGATTGGGGAGGAGATCTGTATGATTAGAATTATGAAGTACTGTCTTCCTTGTGCTGTTAATCACTGCAATTTGCTCAAGAGAGCTGAGTAGCCCTTTAATTTCCCTTCTGTTTTTTGTCTGTACAGAGGTCATTGGTAATACCATATTATATAACTACTTGGACTTCCCTGCTGGAATAGTACCAGTTACAACAGTGACAAAGGAGGATGAAGAGGAGCTAAAGAGTTTCAAAGGACACTTCAATGATTTGGGGGACAAACTCTTTGCAGAGGTATGGAATTGCCTCATGACATTGCCCAGCAGCATTTACAAGTAATCCTCGAGATATGACCATAGTGGAGCCTGTCCAATATGGTCTCATGTCATGATGGCCATGAAGCGAGATGGCCTCATTTAACCCCCACCCTGATCTCTCTGATGCAGCTGTTAAACAAAAAGGCAAGTTATGAAATGGAGCACGGTGAGCTTTAGATATAGTGAAGAGCCTTAGAGATCTGCCCTGGCCTTCTCCAACCCTGAGACACCACCTTTGTGTGACCGCAAGGAATTGTGGGAAAGGTGAAAATGGTATTTCCTTCTGAAGGGCAGCCATGTGGCTTGTCCTCTTTCCCCAGCATGAGGCTCCAAGATCTTTAAAAGGCGTGTGGGAAGATGGGAGAGTGTTCTGACCCAAACCTGATTCCAAGAAAGCAAACACAAGACAAAGGCAGCAGTATAATCTGTTTAAGTTTCAGCTAAAAATCCTGTTTCTTCACAGATAAAAGGCTGCTTCCAACTAATAAGCTCCGACAAGAAAGTGTTGTGGTTAGCCGGCCGCAGTTCCTGAGGAGCCTGTGCTAAGTGCGAGTGAGTGCAGGATGATTCATAGAAGAGCAGCATAGGCGACTCGGGAGTAAGAATGCTAATTAATGGCCCCTCCCTCCAGGGAATATAAGCCTGGTTTCAAAGGGTTATTGCTCTGTAGAAGGCAAAAAACGTTCTAAGAAGCTCTAAGGATCCAGCATTGTGTGTAGAGATACTGGCTTATCTGAAGAATTCTGTCAAGGCTTTTCTGGTTGGGCTAATTGGCTGCAAGCCATCTTTTATCTACAAAGAAGTTTATTTGTAGATTAAAGCTGTGAAAGTTTGAGTTACTGAGTTTGTCTATGTTTACTCTCTGGGAACCCGGCTGAGTCAGAACAGAAAGAGCCTTGCCAAGTTTTTTCAAATCTGACAAAAAACAACAGATAAGAAATAGTTTACAAGAGTCTTCAAATACCAACTGTAATGTCCATGAGGCTGAGTTCAAAATGTCTTTGCCTTCTGCAAAGAAGGTTAATTTCACAGCTGGCTTTTATCTTCTTGAAAGAGAGGCCATTACCTTGCAGCCTTATTCCCGAGTCGCCCGTACTGTTGCAGCTGCTCTTTCCTCCGAGCAATCCTGCGTGCACGTGCACTTGGCACAGGCTCCTCGAGAACCTCCACATCACTGCTGCCAGCCCCTACAATCTCTGAAGGCAGCAGTCCACTCCCTAATGGTCCTGGCCCCTCATTTGAGTCCTCGCTCTTCTCAGCCGTCTGCACACCTGCTGCCGGCTAACCACAACAGAGAAGGGAGGGAGAGGGAGAGAAAGAGAGATGGGAAAGTGCTGTAGTGTCCCTGCTAAGGTCTGTAGGGGTGCTGCAACAGCTGTAAGTTCAAAAGCAGGCTGTAAATAGCTTTCAGGAGGCCTGTTGTAACTTCAGACGGTCATTAAGTGACTATCTATTTGACATTTGATATAAAAAGCTGCTTTCTTTATTCTGTCTTTGTAGGCAGTGAAAGAGTCTGTGGGGCTCCCTGTGGCTATCCAGTGTGTGGCTTTGCCATGGCAAGAAGAATTGTGTCTCCGGTTCATGAAAGAAGTGGAGACGCTAACCAGAGAAAAATCAAGGAAACAATGATATGACACCACAGCAAGCAGAATGGAATTCTTCTGTACTAGCCATGGACTCTGGGAACTGATTTAGTTTATACAACCAAGGGAGGTTACTATGGATGAATTTGTTGAGAAAATGTAAGGGGAACAATGATTATAGGGTTGAGCTTCACACCTTTAAATACTTTCCATTAAAATATTCAGTGCCATTCCAGCCCAATAGATATAAAAAAATTACCAGGTCTAAAATAATTAAAATTAGAAAGTCTTTAACTTACTTTTGGAATCAGAGTGTCTGTGGATGGAGCAGGTGGGAAACATTTGAAGAATTGATTTTCCATGGCAATTATGTACATGAATGAAAAGAAAAGTCAGACATCTGATTGTGTACTTGGGTATGATATTCCAATGCAATGTATTATTAAAAATAAAATTTCCCTGAGCAGAGGTGAGAGTATGTTTGTCAGGTATCCAACAACTTAGCAATATATTAATCTTCAAGTAGTTTCAAGTGGTTTTAAGTTTGAAAATGAATAACTCTTGGCATCGATTCAGACAGGCTGAAGTCCACACATTCTTTTTGCAGGACCAGTTTTTAGCTTCCTAAAGCTCACTATAATTCAGCTAAATGTATTCGCTCAGTTTGATACGATTGCTGCTAATACAACATTCTTTTTTTGGAATTATAACTTTTTGTGAAACAATGACATGGCTTTTATTGCAATTTCAAATATCTGTCATCTGTCCCTTTATATTTCCTCAGTTTTAATTCTCCAGAGCCTCTATTTATTTCCATATAGAGAAAAGATATGTCCAGTGTTTATACAACAATAACGTTTCCTCCCAGTTAACAAGTATATATGTGTGTGTATATATATATATTCTTAAGTTTTCGCGGGTACTTACATGTATGGCATTCAGCTTTGTTCGGGTATTTTCCCACGTCATAGTAGTTGTGCTTTTAAAGTTGTAGCAATGTTTCGGCAGAATCTCATCTGCCATCATCAGGCTTCTGTATAGTGTTCATCTGTGAGTCAGACTTTTACAGTGGTTTCAGATTTAAATTTGGGGCAGCCTATTGCTGTGCCAGAATGGTTTTTTCTTCATCCTGATTGGTTGGGAGTCTTGGTCTGTGTTTATTGGTCTTGGAGTTTGCTGTGTTCTGCTTGATTGGTGTTTCTAATATCTTCTGTCTGTTTTTTGGCTCTTTTTGTATCTTGATTGGCTGGCAACATTGTGTTACTTTATTGGAGGCCTTTAGTGCAGCTTGGCTCCGGGTAAATGGACGGCTATCGTTAGTTAGGAAGCTAGGTTTCATCTGGGTGTCTGGTTGGGGTGTGTTTGAGCTGGAGGTATGAGGGGGGATCTGTTTGTGCCCAGGTGTTTGCCTGGCTTGTGGTGTGGAGATTTTTTTGTTTGTGAGTGCAGGCTTCCAAATGATTGACAGTCTGGTGGAATCATCTCTTCTATTCATGCTTTCTGGTCTTTTTTCAATCTCTATGGCTTCTCTGATGATTCTGTGGCTGGGGTTTTCTATAGTGGCTAGGGTTTTGGTGCCATTGAAGTTGATGCTATGACCTGTGGCTTCCATGTGTTGGACTAGTGAAGAAGTGTGTTCCAGCTTTTTGACTGCATTTTTGTGTTCCTCCAGGCGGGTACTTATTCTTCTATTGGTCTGTCCAATGTATGTGGCCGGGCATGATGCACAGGGGACTTCGTATATGCCTTGGTTTTCCAAGTCAATTTTATCTTTGGGGTTTCTAAGGATGGCTGCTATTTTTCTGTCTGTTTTGAAGGCAGTCTTGATGTGATGTCTATGTAGTATCTTACTAATTTTGTCTGTAGTACCTCTTATGTAGGGCAGGACAGCTGTTCCATAGGTCTGTTCATCTTCTGGGTCTCTATTATGTCTCAGTGTGTTTTTGTGGATCAAGTGGATCAAGTTTTGTGGATCCACACCACAAGCCAGGCAAACACCTGGGCACAAACAGACCCACAACAGGTCCTGTCTTTGAGATCCATTTGAACATATAAATCCACACTATATGCATTGTTTCCAAGACAAATCATCCAAATAATATCTATCCTCCCTTCCTTCCATGCAGGCCTTGACATTTCCCCATAATGCCAGCATTATCACTGGACGAACTGTTGCAATGCATGGTACTTTTGCCAATATTACATCCCAAAATAATTTATAGTACTACTAAAAAAAATCACATTTTTTTTCATTGATCCTTCTCAATTGATAGTGTGCCATTGCATAATACACTAAGAAGTCTTTATCTGAATCTCCAACTTTTTGGGAGCATTAGATATAATACTATACCACAGTTTTTCTAAGGGGTTGCCATAAAGAAGAGGGGGTCAACCTATTATCCAAAGCACCTGAAGAGAGGATAAGAAGCAATGGATAGAAACTAATGAAGGAGAGAAGCAACCTTGAACTAAGGAGAATTTTCCTGAGAATTAGAACAATAAACCAGTGGAATAGCTTGCCACCAGAAGTTAAGTGAAAACCTCATTAGAAACCTCACTCAAGAAGAAATTGAATAGCTATTTGTCCAAAATGGTATAGAGTTTCCTGTGTGAGGAGGTGTCATGCCCCTGGTGGAGACTGACTCTGAGGAAGAGGAGGAACAGCCAACGGAGTGGAAGTGTGGCTCCAGAGATGGTGGAGGAGGCTGGGGAAGGGCAGAGGCCAGCTGAGCAGTCAGAGGAGGATCCAGGCCCATCTCCTATCCATCCTAGGGCACGCAAGAGGAGAGGATCAGGGTAAAACGTCTACTGGGAGGACAGGGCCATGATCCTCTTCATGGGTTGCAGGTGTGAGATTTGCATAAGAGTTTGGACCTGTGTGCTAACAGACGCTGGAGGCAAATTAGTGTTTTATTCCTAAAGAAGGTTCATCTTGGTTGGCATTCTTCCAACGGACTGTACTTGGTTATCTTCCTGAAGTTGGCAATTATCTATCCTGGTCTGTCGAGGAACTTTATTCAGTGAGGTTTGTTTTTGGTTTTTGGTTCATTATCGGCTCTTTGAATTTGAACTGTGTTTCTTGTCTTTGAAATGTTATTTTGAAAATAGTTTAATCCCCCACTGTGAACAATTAAACAGGGAAGCCAAGTTGAAGGCATTAAAGGACTTTTATTTACATTTTGGTTTTTGTTATATTTCTGAGATACTCTGGGTCATCACAGCAGGGGGTTAGATTGGAACAGTGGTTGCCAACTGGTGGGCCACAGCGCATCTGGGTCTGCAATGGGTGATACCGGCAGTGGATGGACTGATGCGCGTGAGGAGGGAGGATAGCATGTGGGAGATCGTGGCATCGGAGCCCTTCCCGTGTGTTTCCTGGCCTGCAAGGGGGTGGGGGGGGGAAAGGAACCTTTGAACTGGTGCTGGGTGGTGAGAATCTGATGTCCGGAGGCTGACGAACCACATGCTAAAGACCAGATGGCTGGCAGGGAGGTGGGGCAATCCTGCAATCTCCCTAGAAAACCTGTGTCGTGGTTGCTGCCTCCTGCCTCAGCACATCAAGGAGGATGAGCAGCAGCGGGAAGAGTGCAGATCTCCTGAGCCTCAGGAAGCAGCTGCCAGCAATGCCCTCAGGTGAAGATGTTGTGAAGGGGAGTCTCAACCCCTCCCCTCAGGAGCCGCCAAGCCTCCTCCCACCGTGCTTCTCTTCCTACTTGCCAGAAGCGCTCACACGCCCAGCGGGAAGGAGGAGGTTTGGTGGGTGCCAGAGGAGCGGTGACCGCTTTGTGGCTCCTGAGGGGAGGGGTCAAGCTTCTCCCTCGTAACATCTTTACCTGAGGGCATCGCTGGCAGCCAGCCACTTGACCTCCTCGGAGGCAGGAGGTAACACCAGTTCAGAGGGTCCTTTGCCCCCATCCCCACTCTCTCGCAGGCCAGGGAACACCCAGGAAGGGCTCCGATGCTGCGATCTCCTGCACATATCAGTCCATCCGCCACCGGTATCACCCCTGTTGCCCCACCTCCCTGCCAGCCATCTGGTCTTCAGCACATGATTCGTCGGCCTCCGGACATAAGATTCCAACCACCCAGCATCAGTTCAGAGGTTTCTTTCCCCCACCCCCATCTCCGGGGACAGAGAGAGAGGGGAAAGAGAGAGAGAGAAAGAGGGAGAAAGTGAGAAAGCAAATGTCAGCTGCTGCTCCGTTCTAAATCCAGGAAAGAAATACTTAGACTCTTGTAATTAGAGAAAAGATGTCTTTTACTGGAAGTTACTGGTAACAACAAGAAAATTCTGAATCTGGGTAATTAGGCACGCACATCACATATATCAAGGGAGTGAAATGTTCCCCCCCCCAACAGTTCAAACGATTCTTCCAATTAAAAGTTGTGAACTACATCATGCGGACATCTCCAGGTGGTGATGATTAGTTGACCTTGGCTTACTCAGATAAAGGGTTGCAGTTGCGCAGAGAAGAGAAAGCTAAGCAGGAATGAGAAACCCCAGGTTATACAATATCAGTTATTAACTCTTTCAACACTTTCCACCCCCCCACCCCCCCGTTACTCATGGCAGCCAGAAAGAAGCAAAGGAAAGGAGGAAGATCTTGAAGGCTGACAGCAAGAGAGGGAAGGAAAGAGAGAAAGAGGGAGGGAAAGAGAGAAAGAGAAAGAGGGAGAAAGAGGGGGGAGGGAAAGAGAGAGAGAGGGAAAGAGTGAGAGAGAAAAAGAGAAGAGAGATCCCGGTGTTTTGTTTTCTGTGGGAAACGGGTCCAAATGACTGAGTATTTAAGGTTGCACAAATAGGAAGCCAAGCTAAGTGCCTGAAGGACCCATCCCATCAGTGGGAGTTCAGGCGCTTCAGTGAACGACATGCTGGATTCATATTAGTGGTCCGCGGTATTTAAAATTATGCGTTTGGTGGTCCCTGAGGTCCAAAAGGTTGGCGACCTGTGGATTAGAAGACCTCCAAGGTCCCTTCCAGCTCTGATATTCTGTTATTCAGTTATAAAGCAATTATAAAAATAAGCATTATATAATTTAGCACCTTAGTAGATGAATTGGACATGGCATGTAAAG